TTACCTTTTTGTCCAGCTAAAGGTAGTCTGTGTATTTCATTCCACATCTCTGCAATTTTCTTGGCAAGGTTTTTCAGAAGTGGATTGCCAATAGCCGCCTTCCTAGGGCTGAGAGAAAGGGACTAGCCCAATCTCACCGAGCTGACTTTGTGCCTAAGAGCTCATAGGTCTTCCAGTTTCTAGCTTGGTGCTTTAATCATTACATTAAACTGTTTCATTGTGGGTTACTACTTAGCATATGAATTCTTTTTGGCTAAGGAGGGGAGGAGTCTGGAGGAGTCATTCCAATACAAATCTGACAGGATTTGTAACAAGATCAAGTGAGTACCATCCTGCGTAAAGCATAAGATCAGTGGTGCAATTCAGCCGGTTGCATCCGGTTTGAGCGAACTGGTAGCGGGGGCGGTGGGAGACTCCACCCACCCACCCGGACGTCATCACGTCCTGTTTTTAATGCTCAGCGCATGCGCTAAAGGTCTGCGTGCACCCACATTTGCGAAGTAGTGAAGTAAGCTGATTTCACCACTGATGTTTTTGACATGGCTGAAAATATAGTTGTAAGGTGGCCTAAATTGTGTGTGTTTCCTGTTAAATCTGTTAACAATAATAAAACATACACGGTATAACCCTCAAGTCTGCTTCGTGCAGACATAGTTTCTACCTAAGACTACAGCTGATGGAGAGTTATAGATTTAATTCTGAAAAGTTGACAGCATGGCAATATCACATGACCTTGTACAATCTAATCTTTGTTCTCTATATCTGCATCCCTCACTTTCTCACACTGTTGTGCTAGGAACCTCTGGAGAATCTGACATTAAGGCCTCACTGTGTGTATTTATTTTCTGAAGCTGCCCATTATATGTCTTTGACATTTAAACCACCCACCTGCTTATCCAGCAAAATATTTGATGGTTAACAGCCCAACTATTGTCGCTGACATTTGTTTTTGTTGGAAGAAATGTGGGTTTTCCTTGAAACATTGTCACAAAAAGAATAGGCATATCAGACTCAAGGTGGGGGGGGGAGAGAAGTCAACATTCATAAAGGCAAGGTCTTTATTAGATTAATGGCAAATTTCCAAAATATTGCAAGGCCTCGAGTTTCAAGAACACATCATCAGGCAGGCAAAAGTAAAAGGCATGGGTTCAGACGTCTTTCCAGCCTCTTCATCAGGTGGAGCTCAAGGAGGCATGGGAATTGTCTTCTGCAGGTGTGTGCTTCAACTCTCCTCTTAGATTGCATTGTTTGTTTTTATGTGCCTTGGGAAGCATAGGGCAGGCTGCATATCCTGTGTCCTGGGTCATGCGACCAGGAAGAGAGCACAGCATGGAGCATCCTTTTCGAAGCTGAGACATATGGGGAGGATTGTTTTCTGGAAAATTTTCTCTGCAGCTCTCAAGCAGATCTGGTCCATTTTCAAGCTTCACTTTTCTTTTGCCAGCTCCTCCTCCTCCCACAGCAAATTTGGTTCCATGCTGTTTGGTTTCTGGAAAGTTATTTTGCTGACACACAGGCAGTCAGATTCCTGGCCCACTTTACATAATTTCTTTCCAAACTTTCCTTATGTTGGAAGGAATAAAACAGAAGGAGAGAGAAATAAAAAAATGTGGCTGATCTCCGAACTCTGCCCTTCCCAAATTGCACTGCTAGATAAAATAGTAGAGAGCTTGAAGACATAGGATCTTGTCATAGTATCTAAGCAGGGTTAGATTATACTAGTTTTTCCATGTTTAACATAGGTAGTCTTCAACGTAGCCACAATTGAGCCCAAAATTTCCATTGTTAAGGCAGACACTGGTGGGAAAATATAATCATAAATGCTTTTTAACTGAATTTTGTCCCATTTTACCATCTTTCCTGCCAC